CGAGGGGAGGAGAGTGAGAGAGGCAGAGACTGCACTTGGAAATTCAGAAATAATTATAATAAAGAAAAACAAACTAGTTAGTAATTACATAGATATATATATATCTATATATCTATGCCTGCCAGATGTGCGACAATAAATTTCCACAATTATGACTAGAAAAACGTATTAAGATCTTGGGAAAATTTTAAATGCAGATATGTAAACACATAGGTATAACACTTGCCTATAAGATGGTATATATAGTCTTAATAATATAACTATAAAATCTATAGCAATTGCTATTCACAAAGTAAAAATATGTAAAGCTCATGAAAAGCAAATATCTAGAGGAATTTTCATTGTAGATGCTGAAAGCATTATATGTATATATACATGAATATTTGTATGATTTATTGATTTATATATATTTTTCTATAACTATCTAGCACTTGCTTTTTTTGTATCATCATGAAAATATTTGCAGCACTCACTTTATCAGAGCTGCGCATCAAATTAGCCCAAAAACAAAAACAGATTAAATTTAAAAATAACATAAAACTTGGTATCTTATCAAAAGCTAAGCCAAAACATGTTTAAAAAAAAAAATGACATTTCTCATATGTAAAGAAAAGAAACTACAAGCTATGTGAAAATAATCAGATCTGACACGAAAAATGCAATGAAAAGGTGCTAGATAAAGATTTGATTGAATATTTGATAAAGAAATATAAATGTGTATTTATAATACAACAACAAAAATAATCAAAATTTTGATTATAATGAAAAAAAAAAAAAAAACAAATAATAATAATAATAATAATTAAAAATAATTAAAGAAATGTAATATTTATATTGATAATATATTTTAAATACATTAAATTATATTAGTATTATATATTAGTATTATTATTGGTATTATATTAGTATTTTAAATTTTTTTTGTGGTCTTTTAATTTGTAGAATAAATAAATATCGTTTAAATAAATTTCAAAAATTTAATCAACAAAAAATTACATAGATAAAAAAATATTTTAATATCTCTTTAAAGAAATAATAATATTGAATAATTAATAATAATTCCTGATTTCAATATCTATTTAAATATTAATAGAAACATATTTTATAATATTAAAATTTTTGAAAAAATATCAACAAATATAATTTTATCAAATTTTTAAACAATTTCTATTTACATACAAAATAACTGTCAATTGGAACAGGATACAGAATATAACCCCATTAAAATTTCCCAGATGGATTTCCTCTATATGTATATACCAACAGCTAACGACTATAAAAATCCAACCTGCTTAAATGGCAAATTCACAATGAGCTTGTTATTTCTGTGGAATTCAGAGAACAAATTTTTCGTGGGTTCTACGTAAGTGTCTCTGTTTGCTATTTGCTTAACTGTTCCAAAATTTAGGGCGCAATTTGCCAGAAATGTTTTTTCATTTCTCAGTTTGTGCTCAGCTCGCACAAGGCGAACCGAGTTTAAACTCTTCACATAATGAACGATATATAATCGTATTTGTTTGTACTTTTAAGGAAATCATTTTACGTTTTTCGTCTTGTTTTAATATCTGAACAATTTACAATGACAACGCACTCGAGAAATACTTTTGAATTGCTCGTGTTGAGGTTCGTTTGTTGTTATTATTATTATTATTATTATTTTTTTTTTTTTTTTTTTGTGTTTCTGCTGTTTGCACTACTTAGTGGCGGACAGATAAGATTAAAATTCGACTTAACCAGGCTCTTACTTAGACGCTCCCAACGAGATAAGATAAAAGAGAATGCTGCTCCATACGCAGCCAGCACGAAGATGGAGCAAAAAACAACAACAACAACAGAAAAACTGGTTGCCAATGATTGCCTGACATGCAGCTACTCAGATACACAATCCATCAGATACAGATACAGTAGTAACTCGGCAGAGGGAACGTTGAGTATAACAAGAGTTTTACATTGCTAACTTTATTAGATAAGGAAAAAGCTAGATATATCGGATGCATAATCCATATGATGCTGATAGAGCTACAGTGATAACTTGGCAAAGTGAACATTAAGAGAGACTATCTATCTAGCTAATCAGATCCAGATACAGTTATTGATTCAGATAACCTCACAGACAACTCTGCAGAGTGAGTGTTGAGTATACCCAGCAGTATATTTTGACAATCTACCAGATATAGGTAGAGTTACAAATGGATAGATACTCAGATATGCAATCCATCAGATACTAGTGCAGATATAGAGCTAACTCAACAGAGCAAACATGAATGATCCTGATAATGACTATATATATTGATAAATAATCAAAAATATACATATATACATTAAGAACTGTCTGAAGCTAACAGTTTGAGATATTAGCCAGGTTAAGACAATCAATGAAAAAACTAAAGATTTGTAGAGCAATTTTGCAGTGCAAAAATTGGACTACAATCTTGTAGTACATATCTGGCTCTCTACTCATTCTACATATCTAATAGCATATAGTATATAGTCCATATAGTCAGTGCTCACTGTACCGCAAAACCACTTAGCTACAGCTGGCAAGGTCGCTGCATGCTTTTAATTGAAACGAAACTTCGATCGTCTTCGTCTCTGTAGCTCAATTCATAATTCAATCAATCTCACACGCACGCATACACATATATATTTCGGATGATTGGGGTGTATTGAACCCAAGAGCGCGACCCCCTTCACAGTCCGCTACTCAAACGCACACACACACACACATACATATATACATGTGTATATTTGTTATTCTTTGGTTCACTATGAGTTCAGCTTTTCGATGCCTATTTCCATTTGTCCCATTGCAATTGAATGTTATTTACAGGTCTCTCTCTCTCGCTGTCTCTCTCACGCTGCCCTCTATCTCTCCCTCCATATCTTTTAATGCTGGGAATTACATTTCTGTTGTGCGTTTCTTTTTTTATCAAACCTTATCAGCAGCTGACATCGGCATAATACCTGTCGCCCTATCTCTCACTCTGCCTTTTTCGCTCTCTCCTCACCCACGCCTTCTCTCTCTCTTTCTCTTTTGATCTACCACTTTTAAGCCACATGTAAATTTTTCCACTCGTTAATCCACAATTAAAATCCGCCGAAAAGAAAGACAACAATTATCAAGTTCTGCGCGCTTCAATTGTTTGTCAAGCAAAACTCTTCCGGGTTTATATAGATTGTTTTTAGGAGGTTTCAACATGACTTGACTGAAAGGCAAATAAATAGAGCCGTCCAAAGAGCAAGTGCTGCACAAGTTAATCATACTATTTGTTCGATTAAGGAAAAACAAACTAAAAATCTTATAATAAATCAAGATGTGTATATTGCATTTGAGTAAGACTTTAACTGGTTCAAAATTATGATAAATTTAGGAGAAACAAATGTATATAGTTTTATAAAATCTGTCCAATAATTTTTTAATGTATAAATAAATATTAAAAAAATATTATAAATTTTTAGAATTGAAGAAGCGAAATTTTTAGGAAACCCCATTTTTGGTTAAGCCCATAAAAACGATATTTTTGGCTATTTTTTTCATGTCTCTAAAATGCTTAAATACAATAAATTAACACTTTGGGTTTTTAGGCGCAATCATAAATTAAATATTTGTAACTAATTGCTGTCTATTTAAAGTTTCAATTAACAACGTTTTTAATTAATTATATTTATGGAGATATATTGAGTCGGGATTCGCTTTATACTATGTATATACATTTATTCTATATAAGACTTTAGCTGCTCATAGTTCACTTAACTTTTTAGCTGTAGCTAGCACATGTTTGGCTTAGAATTCTATTAACAGTTATTACACACCTGTACCTAAAGTCATTCTAAATGTTTAATTTTTTTTTCCCCTCTCTGCCTCTCTTATTGTTTTATCAGTTCTACATGTTCTTTTGGTCCATTCAAATGCTGGCAAAAAGCTGAACCCAAAGACACATAATTTACTTTTTTAGCTATTTTTTTTTAATATTTCTATAGCTACATAGTACATATGTATGTGTGTGAACATGTCGCAGCGTCTGGCGCCAATTAAAATAATCCAAAACACGTACACCGACTGCCTTTGTTATGGCTCTTGGCAAATATGTTTGTATACGCTTTATATGGCTGGAAAGAGTTTTCCCAAGTGCAATTGCCAATGGGGCGGCAGCTGCTGCCGCTGCCGCTCACACTGCGGCAACCTCTACCAAGCTGAAGCGCGGAAAATGGCAAAATGCAGCCGCCAAAAACTGGTCTGGAAAATGTTGGATAAAAAAAAGCCAAATAAGAGGCAAAAATCTTGAGCAAAACTTGTTGGCCTCAAACATGGAGTTGGCTAAGAAGAAGCAGCCGCAGCAGAAGCTTCTTAGCCACCCGCGAGCGAATGAAGCAGCAAAAGTAGAAGAAGTCGAGATAGTGGAAGAAGAAGAAGAAGCTTCTTTAGCCACCCGCTAGCAAATGAAGCAGCAAAAGTATTGTAGAAGAAACGCTAGCAGCGCTGCAGCGGCGCAGCAGCAGCAACAGTAACAGCTAAAGAAGTTTTGTTGTAAGCGGAAGAAATGCGCACGTTGAAGGCTACGCTTGACTCTGCTTCTTTTTATACTTTAATTATACAATAATAATTTTTTTTTTTATACATTTTTTCAACTCTTTGTTTTAGTGTGTATTTTGTTTATGTTTGCTGAAATTTTGTAACTTCTTGAGGCACATTTTACACGTAAGAAATGCCGTTTCGTGTTGCGGCCTCTGCAGTTGTTGTTGCACTTTTGTTTGCTAGCTGAACGCGTGATGGTCGCTGCTTTACTTTACACCAACACCAATACACGTCTACACAAACACACACACACATATATATATATGTATATATACATTCGCATAAGTGTTGTCATCAATTATATTGAACCGTACGTAAACAGAGAATCAGAAAATTAATTCATTTCTTGTTTTATATTTATTTTCATTGTATTAATTGCATTGAGTGTACACTAATACACACGTACGTATATGCATATACACACCAGCTAGACGACACTCACACACACGCACACGTACACGTAAACGCGCGGCCAATGAACGCGGTGCATTTACTTATTCGGTTGCTTTGCTAAACTGCACGAGACGAGAGCCAAAAGTGGACTGACTGAATGGCTGGAGACTGAGGCGCGATCAGGCAAAGCTCACGGCGGCAGCGGCAGCGACAGCAACAGCAACATCAGCGGCGAGCCAGAGTCCAACACACCTACACGAGCACACTTAAAGACACGCTCTCGCGGCGGCAGTTGCGAAAATGTTTTTCTTCGGCCACGCAAACCACACAAAAGAGAGAGGGAGAGAGACAGAGACCCAGAGAGCGCGCGCACACACACAGACACAAAGCCGCAATCTTAAGTCTGCGTTTACCTGCGCGCCGCTTGTCGTAGGCAAAGACAGAAAAAAAACCCCAGTGGATATTCGGACGCTGCTCTCAATATGTTACATATGAGAGGCAATTCCATACTGTTTGGTAAAAACGTTTGCTAATGGGTGTCAGTCTTATCATAGTGTACGGAGCAGAGAGCAAATGCATGCCGAGCAAATCAATACCAATAGCAACAACAACAACAGCGAGCATAAACAGGTATTTTTTGTTTTGTTTTTGTAATATTGAAAGTCACTCACTCGATATCTCAGCTGTCAGTGAGCGCGCCTGCAAGTCCGCGTGTCTAGGTGTGCGTGACTGAGAGCGTGCAAGAGAGCCACAACACACACACACACGCACACATGCATATGTACATATAGAAATGCTCACTCAGTTGCTCGTTCGTTTGCTCGCTCACTCGCTCGCCACTTAATCAGGCAGTGGACAGAACCTGTTGCGCGTGCTATGCGTCCAGTTCTTGCTAAAGAACAACAAGAACGAACAAGCACGTCAACGAGAACCTGTTGCGGCGACTGCGACGCTGGCAGCGAGTCGCGACTGCACTTAGCCAAAAATTCAAGCGGACAAAAGGCAAACAAAGAAAGTAAAGACTAAAAACAAAAAGAAACGCTGCACACAGCACAAGAAGCAACAGCGCAAAATGAAGGAAACGTTGATAAGCAAGGCCGAGCTGAGGCTGCGACTGAGGCTGAGCCTTCGCTGCGTCGCTGCACTTCAAAGTTGATTTATGTGTGGCTGCTGCTGCTTCTTCTGCTTCTTCTTCTTCTGCTTCTTATTGTTGCCGTTTGCTATAGCTGTTGTTGTTGGCACTTTTGATTTTCAGCGCAAGTCGCTTCCAATTAAGCAAAGCAAAGAGAGAGAGAGAGGGAGAGGGAGAGCAAAGCCGACCACCAACGTTGCCGTCAATCCAGCTTAAAAATTCGAAATAAATAAATCTATATTTGGGCCAATATTTGTGCCCGATTATGATTATGGCTGTTAAATGCAAATTTCGCAATGTCAAACAGGTGCTAATGAGCCCATTCTAAGCTAGTTAATTTATGCCTATATCTACATACACACACAAACACAAATGCTTGCAGCGTATCGCCTAACGGTACAAGCGAAAGGTGGCAACATGCAAATTGCCACAATAAAAGGCGAAGAAGCTGAAGCAGAGAGAAACAATAGCTAAAAATATGCTAAAAGTAAAGAATAAGAAGAATATTCAACGGTTCTCGGCTAGTTCTTAACTTTCGTTTGCCATTCGCACAGTTCATTAACCGATTTTAAATGATAAAAAGTCAAAAGCTCGTTTAGATTTCATGCAGTCGGGGGCTCCGAGTCGGTGCTCCATGTGCCCCCATCACTTCAGTGCCAGCCCGGGGATGTTTCAGCGGCTAAGCATGCCTCTGCGCGCTTAGATCAGCTTTGCTTCCAGCTAGCTTCCAGTCCGGCTTGCGGTCAACTACACGCAGTCTCACGCACGCACACTCACGCACAATCGGTTCGCGCCTGGCAGGCAGGCTGGCAGAGCTCCTCTGCAATTAATCATCAGCTTTTTTTTTTGACTCTAGTGGGCGCACACACATTTGTTTAGCTTTGTGTGGTTTGCAAAACAAAAACAAGTTTACCGCTGTTCCGGGTGGTGGAGGTGCTGGAGAGGCAGCTTGGAATGTGCCGCGACTATCAATCAGTTATTGTCTATTGTCCCAGTGGCATTACCAAATCTCTTGTGGCGACTCTTACAGCTGACCCAACCGGCTCTCTTGACTTTCCATTGGAAAAGCCCTAGATATGAATGCGTGTATCTGGCTAAACGATTGCTGAAGGTTACACGCTGTTGCCACTGGAAGTGGGAGTGGAAGCGGGTGCTGCTATTTAAGCATTCCAGTGCGAAACGCTGACATCAACGAAACACACCCAGTTCCAGTTCGAATCGCTGATATGAAATCAAAATTGTATTTCATGTGGGAAACGGCTAAGGCCAAAAAATTACAGCCCTTTTACATAAATATAAAATATGTATTTATTACATGTGTATGTATGAGCAGCAAAATTTGCCACTGTTGCCTGTTGCCTGCTGCATTTCAATTGAGCTCCTCCGATGACGTCATCAGCTGGCACTGTTTCAATGCTCCATATGTTGAAATTTGCATGCAACAGGCATGCAGAGCGGCCAAGTTATTCAGCTGTCAGTTGCCCTCCCGGCATGCCAAAGGTATTATGACACACACACTCGCATATATAATGTGTGTGTGTGCGTCTCAGCTTTTAGATAAAGATGCTGCAGTTTGCTTTGATATTTAAAAATGCAACAAAAGCTCGCCCTCCCGCCACGCGTCCACGGGGACAAACGAACGACAAACGATGATGTAAACAGCCAAATAAAACAAAACAAAAATACATAAAGTAAAATAAAGAGAGAGAAATGTAGATACAGCGGGTGACCCGAATCTATTTGAAATATATTTATATGTACGTTTAGCTACAGTGAAATCAGGCTAAGGCGAGCAGCTCTATTGGAAATTCATGCATTAATATGCATTTAACAGCCTTAGGGATATTTTATGACGTTTTCTTATTGGGAGAAGGGAAATTTTGTGTTTATGCCCAGCCACAACTCCTCTCTTTTAGAGTATGGGAAATGGGAATTTTCAATAAGGAAATTTTCTTTGAAAGCTAAAAATATTGGAAATTGTGGAACAGCAAAACATATACATACATATATGTATATATGTACGCTTACAGCATTCCTCTGTTACGGTCTAACTACAAAGCATTGCATCAACAGAGATTCATTTAAATAACAGTTGATCAATTCCCATTAAAAAAAGTCCTTTAAAAAAGGAAATCCTTGACAGTTAACGGAAACTTTATATGCACATACGAAAACCCAATGCCTAATGTCATTTTCAGATATTTCCCACCATTAGGCAAATGGAAATTCCTTGAATGAAAAGTAGGGCAAAAGATGGGACTTGGAATGGGCAAGTATTGAAATGGGAAAGTGGGGCAAAAGATTGAATTAGTTGACTAAATGACATTTGGCCTGAGGCAACTGTCCGCAAGCAGAGCATTCACTGTATTTCAAATATATGTATTTATATATACATATATCTGGCGTTGGTTTTATGGCCAGAAGAGGAGCATTTGTGAGACATAAGTTGGGACTGCGACCGTCCTCTGGCCTGGCGGCATTTTGTGACTCTATCTGCCCGCGGGCTACAGTCACTCAGGCAGCCAGTCAGCCAGTCAGCCAGTCAGTCACTCAGTCAGTTCGTCTAATTGGATTTGCGCGCTTGTGCGTAACTATAAATCACACACAGCAGAGAGAAAGAGAGCGAGAGAGACAGAGAGAGAGGGCAACCGGTTTGGATTGCCAAGTCACCCGCCGCTTATAAACAAACTGCAAAGCGCAATATCCCATAAAGCTTTTCGACTATTTGTTAAGTGACCAAAACGGTAACAACAACTACAACAGCAACAACAACAATATAAAGAATAATTATGCTGCTGCATAAAACCAAAAGAAGCAGCAGCGGCACCAGCGGCAACAGCAGCAGCGGAAGAAGGCACAAAAGAATATCAGCTTACGCAATTTAGGGTTTAGTGCTGAGCTACGTTTTAATGTTCAAATGCCATGTAAAACATTCGTGTGAAATTTATTAATGGCAGTTGAAGAAGAAAAAAAAATGATGAAGTAAAATAAACGGCATTCACTTGCCGTCGTGTTAGAAAGTGTCTTGTCTTTTTCTTCGTTTTGTATTTAATCTTGTAAAAATGTGACATTCTTGGAAATGTAAGCTGATTTATTTTAAGGCCCACCCAAATGTTGTAAAGCGGATGTTGTAAAGCTAGCACTTGCAAATCTACACACACACACACACATAGACACACACCTGCACAGTCTCATACAATTGCTGGACACTTGTACAATTTGTTCTAGCGAAAAGTGTGAGAGAGCAAAAGAATATGTAAAAAGCTCCCAAACATGAGCACATTAAGCAAAACGAGGAATTTTGCTGTTACTGCTGCCAGGTACATTTTAAGTTTTTTTTTTTGTTGGGGTCTTTTTTTCTGGTGTGTGGTCTCTCAAGCCCTACGTGTGGGTTAACCTTTGGCCAGCTTGTTTGCGTAGCGGCTGTCGTTTCCTGCAATTTATTAAATTTCATACAAGGCAAGGACGCCCCAAGAAGATATTAAATTACCACAAAAAAAGAGCTTGGAAAGTGGATACGCTGATAAAAGTATTTAAGGCAGCCGCCACAATTCAAAAAATACTCAATAGTCTTAGGGGAGGTGGCAACGCTGCTGATTTAAAAACATATTAAATGACTGCTGATTGCACTCAAATAAACTTGCATAAATTAACGATTATTAATAAATATTTTACTAAAAGTATTTTTCAAGTTAGATGAAAATATACCAAACAAAGATATTTGCCACATTTAAAAAGTACTCACTCAGCGCGCAAATACTTATTAGCTGGATGGCAACTCTGCTTGTACAACAGCTGATTTAGAAACAGATAAAAATATCGCTGCACATAAATACAAAATGTACTCAATTCGCGTGAAGTGCATTTCAATCAGCTGGCAGCGCTGCTCAAATAAACAGCTGTTTGTAGATAAACATAACTGTTGCTTGTGGTTGTTGCGCACACAAAGGAAACAAAGATTATTTCAAAGCAGCGTCGTGAAAATGTGAAAATCCGCAGCAAGAGAGACACGCCCACAATCGCTTGCTCATTAAAAACATCAACGATGAACAGCGTTCACGCACGAATCAAGATATTTAAAAGCTGGTCAGGCATCAGCGAGGTGTCTATTATCAAGGAGGTGGCCACCAAGGGCGAGCACATCGAATTGTGCATAGAATATTGGGCTGCCAAACGAAAAATACCAATACCCGAGTACAGGCATTATTTTCACGATGTCGTGCAGGCCTATGTGCAGCGTTTGCTCTCCGAGCGACTCGTCTGCAAGGCGGAAACTGTGCTCCACAATGTGGAGCGGGATGTGAAATGCTTCTTCTATCAATATGCCTGCGAGTGCGACGATCCGGATCTAAGTGAATTTGTGCTGGACCATTTGCGCGGCCGCGAGCCGCAGCTGTACGAGGACGAGCAACCGGTGCTGGACTACTACTGGTCCCTAGTGCAACAGCTGCGCGAGTGCAGCGAGCTGCAGGCCAAGCATCAGGATCTGTTGCCACGTGTTCATATCGAGGCATTGATGAAGCTGCCGGAACAAAAGCTGCAGCAGCTGCTCGTCGAACTCTACTTTGCTAATGGCAATGGGGCCCTGCTGCCGGAGCTCAACAAACAGCTCGTCTGGCAGCATCTCGTCGATGCGGGAGAGCAGCGCCAGCTGCGTCGCTGGTGCCAGGCTGTCGCTCAGCAACTGGAGCAAGACCCTTTGGAGCAGGCCTTTGCCAGGTGGCAAATCGAGGCGTCTATGTACGAATATGCCTTGACCCATTTGAAAGATCCCTGCGAGCGACTGCGCAATCACTTTGCCCAAGCTGGCTACTTCTTCCCAACCGAAGCCTCGGACATATCCACGCTCTTGCGTCGCCTGTGCACCATGCAGTGCCTGGAGCAGCAGCAGCCGCTGCTCTGCCAGCTGCCACTGGCCAAGCATCTGCTGCAACGCGGCTATCACTCACTGCTGCTGCTGCGCTGTGTGCCGATCGCTTCGCTGGAGCAGCAGCTGGTGGGCGAGAACGAGCCGCTGCTCAGTCTGCTCATCGATCTCAAGACGCACGATCTAACGGAACGGAATGGATTTGAGCTGGTATGCCAGAGACTTGCTATTCCTCCATCCTCGATTCATCACTCTCTCTATTCATCTGCTTACAGATCTCGCAGAGCGTTCAGTGCTATCTGGAGCGCACACATCATGGCGAGGATTCGCTGCAGGAACAGCCGCTCTTGACCTTCTACGACTTTCTCTGCCACGAGCCGAGCGTGCGCTCCCTGGAGGGCTTCCTCTCCTCCAGCAACTTGCGTCGCGTACCCTATTTAAACTCTTTGATGCAACGCTTCGAGCACCATGGCTCCAGTGGCTGCACCGCTCTGCCCACTGCCCAGGAGCTCTTTCACAAGTTCAAGCATGTGAATCTCGCTGCCGGCCATGGCGAGCTGGTCAGCTTCTCCAACACGCGGCTGAGCCAGCGCTATGCGAGGAAGGCGCAGCTGAACTACACCCATTATCTGAAGCAGCAGCGGAGCGCCTATGCCGTCTACTATCTGATCCTGGAGCAGCTGCAGCTGTATGGCCAGATCACGCGCACTCAGCTCTTCCATGCGTGCGAGACGGCCACGCAGCTGGCGCTGCAGCATGCCGGCGACGAGGAGCTGGTGACGCACTGCGTCGCCTGCTGTGAGATGTTGGACTTTGATACGCAATCGTTGCGCAGCTATTTGCACTTGCAGAGGCAGCTGCCAACGGCTGCGACATGTGGCAGCTATACGCAGCAGCTGGAGCAATGGGACGAGGCGTTGGTGGGACAGCTGGTCAAGCAACCGGAGCACTTTCCTCTGGAATCCTATCAAGCTCTGATGCGCTTGGCAGCGCGCAATGTCCATGGCAAATGGCCGACGGCGCTGTTGCAACATTATGCGGCACACAACGACTGGTGGCAGCTGCTCCTGCTGTTCCAGTACTTTGAGCTGCCCCTCACCGAGCTGAAGCAACTCCTGCCGCACTTCAAGTGCCAGTCCCTGGGCATTCATATGCTGCGCGCGCTCAGCCACGAGTGCGGCCACGAGCGGCAGCACAAGCGCGCGGTCAATCGGCGCAGCGATGGACCCACCCATTCCTCGCAAGAAACCATGACCAACTCCTCGCACAGCTCCGGCCTGGATGGCAATCTGCAGCAGCTCCAACATCTCAATGGCCAATCTCTGTGCAATCTCCTTACGCACAATGCGCAGCCGGATCTGTTTGCCCTGGTGCTGTGCAGCAGCAACAGTCTGCCGGAGGAGTCCATTGGCAGTTTGGCGCGCCTCGTGGAGCTGATGCAGAGCAGCGCCAATCACTGCAGCAGCCTCAATTTGCTCAAGCATTGTGTGCGCCAGCAAATGCCCGTGCTGGCCGTCCTGGCGGCCACGCTGAGCGCACAGAATCGCGACTGGTGCTGGCTGCTGTGGCTGGTCGTGGCCAGCGGCCAGTGGCCGCAGCTGCTGCAGCAGTGCAGCAAAGCCAAGGAGCCGCTGCAGCAGACGGAGCTCATCTGGTTTGTGATCAGCGGCGCCGTCAAGGCGGGCCAACTGACGACGCTGCTGCACAGCTTCTGCATATTTCAGCCAGTAAGTAGGGTAATCCTCGAGCGAAGATGCACTTGTCCTCTACTCTATCCCTTTGCAGCACTGCGCCTTCCTTCATCTGTGCCGCTTTCTGCAACTAACCGCACAACGGCAGGACTTTAGTGATTCCACTATTTTGGAGCTGCGTCAATTCTTCTGCAATTGGAGTCGGGATGCAGTGCAGCTGCCGCTCTGTGAGCCGCTGCCGCGCAAACAGCTGATGCAGCGCTGCTTTGGACTGCTGCTGCTGCACATGCAGACGAACTTCGACTGCGTTCTGCAGCAGCAGAAGTTTCTGGAGTGCATCTGCCGCTCGGATGTGGGCGACATTTGCGATCTGCTGGACTTTTGTCTGCTGCATCGCATCTTTGGCGTGGCGGCGCCCTGGCTGGGCCAGCTGGGCATTGACTACGAGCAGCTGGTGCGGCGCGACAGCCTGGAGTATAAGCGTCTGGTGGATACGCTCACCGAGGCGAAGGCCTATGAGCAGGCGCTGCAGCTGGCGACGCTGTTGCAGCTGCCGCTGGCGGACATCGTCTATGCCAAGTGGCTGGCCGAGCTGGAGGCGGGCGAGCTGCGCCAGCACGAGCAGTATGAGCAGGAGATCGAGCAGCATGCCCTGCCGCCAGCTATCCTGGTGAACTTCCTGCTGCAGGCCGCTGCTGCCCAGCAGCCGGAGACGCAGCTGCGACGTCGCTACGAGCTGCTGCAGAGCTCGCTGGGAGTGATCAAGCAGCATCATTTGTTCCCCAATGAATCCTTCGACAGGGATCAGATAGAGTACGACATGGTCGTCTGCTATCTGCAGCTGGAGGCCGAGCAGCTGCAGACTGTGGAGATCTATCATTCCGAGTACTTTGAGCAGATAATGCGGCAGGAGCGTTGCGTGCTCTACAAATCCTTCGCGGAGCTGAAGGAGCTGGCTGGCATCGATGACCTGAGCATAGCCAACAAAATCCACCTCACAGCCGAGATGGAACAGCGCTTGAGTGACCTACTGAATCTACTGTTGGATGAAGGTGACATTGTGGAGGCACTGCGTCTGCAGGAGCTGTTTGAGTTTCGCCCAAATGACTTGCGCTTCATTGTCTTTGCCATGGCTCTGGCCGAGGGCATGACCAGCATCGCGAATCTGTCCAACAAGGAGCGCCAGCTGCTAAGCGACATTGAGAAGAGCGCGTTTCCCAAGTTTAATCGTCTGACGCTCAATCAGAGTCCCATGAATCGTTGCAGCAGCGATCTCTCGGACAGCTATTCCACGCTCGAGTTCGAGGAGATTCCCTCGAAGGAGAAGCAACAAACTCTGGAAACGCTGCTGGGCATTGGCTCCAAGCTGAAGCACGGCGTCGAGCTGGGGCGACGCATTGTGCTGGCCTATCGCACGGCCATGTATCTGGACAAGGAGTACCTGGACGTGCTGCGCACCAAGGATGTCAGTGTGCTGCTCAAGAGCGCCGCCGAGGAGGAGTGTCTGCAGCGGCTGCTAGTGGTCAGCGATATACACATATCCACAAGGCTGACACCACAGGAGGTAGAGCTAATCCATCTTCAATCTCATTGAGTCTTATACAACTCTTATATTCGATTGCTAATCCTTCTTCGATTCCTTTCAGATCGCTGAATCCCTTGCTCTGGAGCTAACCACCTGCATTCTGCGTCCACGTTTCTACATCTTCCATGCCAGTCAGCAGCCACGCAATGCTCCACGTAACGCCGACCTCTGGGGCCATAATATCGATCGGGACTTCCATCTGTTTCTGGAGCTGACTCCGAACACTACGCTGCTGGGCAATTGCCTGCTGGAGTATTGTGATGCACTGAAGGCCTATAGGCGCTATCAGGACAACAAGCCTTATGTGCAGAGCAAGGCCTTCGAGCTGCTCTCCGGGATCATAACACTCTACGGGCTGCCGCACAGTCACAATGCGGTCAGCTCCGCGGGCATTCCGCAGGTGCTCTCGAGCAAGAAACATAATCAAATCTATGTGGAGCTTCTGATCAAGGCGCATTTGTGCTTCGTGCACGAGTGCTCCATGGAGGGCATTGCCAATGTGCTGGAGCGAGCCAAGCAGCTGAATGGCCAGCTAACCAAGGCCAAGTCGTGGTCCCTAATCGTTCGCCTGCTCATTGGCATTGCACGGTACCGAGAGATGTTCTACTGCTTCGATGCGTTGATTGAGAACGAGCAATTCGAGTCGCTGCTGGGCCAATTCGATGAGGATCAGAAGAGTGGACTGAGACAGGCGATCCTCTGCTATCTGCGTGAGTACAATCCCAAGAATAGCAAGGAGCTGCTGCATCTCGCTGCACATCATTTCCTCATGTACAAGGAGCTGGCGGAAATGTGGTCGAGCGAGGCGCACCAGATCTTGGAGCGAGTGCGCAGCACCGCGAGCGCCGGCCCAACTGAGCTCAAGTGCAGCCATGAGCTGCAGCAGCAGCTGCAGCAGGCACTGGAGAACTATACGCACGCCACCGAGAACTATTTGCTGGACAACAAACTGATATTGGCACAGCAGAGCGTGGCACGCGCCGAGCTGATGGCCATGCAACTGGATCTGTGTAACAAGGCGATGGAGAGAAGGGGATCAGGAGGCGGCGGAGCAGCAGGAGGTATGAATAGCAGCAGCAGCAGCTCTTCCATGCCACTCAGCATCAGTGTCATTGGCGTGCAGACACGCGAACAATTCCGGGAGCTGGTCAATCAGCAATTGAGGTGCGTTCCAATTGGATAAGCCAATCAGACTATTGACAGCAACTATGCTGAATATAACTAATTAGACTTGCCTAATATGAATCTTTGGAAAGTCTATGGATCATTTACAATAATTATGTATCAATCTATATATTTATCTCTAAATTTATCTACATATCTCTCCCAGCGTACCCCAAACCCTCATATTGAGTCGCGCCTATGGCTACGATATTAACTGGAGTGAAGCATTGTTATCACAATTTGTGCTATTGCAAAGAGCCAATTATCTGCAGCAATATCTCAGTCATCAGCGCATCAGTGACAGTGTTATTGAGCAGGTGGTCAAAGGGTAAGTAAAATACATATAAATAAAACTCACCTCGCCAACGGCTCCACTCTAACAGCCTCTTCCATTACAGCTACATATTGCACACACAAAACAATCCAACCAGTGCCAAATATGATGTATCCCTAACACAATTGGTGGAGCTCATTCGATCCGTTACATTGAAATATAAGTTGGCCTCCATTTTGGGTTTGAAAGCGATTGTGATGGCGCTTATAAATGATTCCACGGTGCACTATTTGCGCGACACGAACTTCGGTCGCAATGAGCTGCACAACGTAACGAATATGTGACACAGTTTATGTGATTTTAAACCTTTATTATATATGAATGAACTGATTGTAAATTACTTTATATTAAATACACAAACAGTAAAAATTCACAAGGCGCGAAAATCGCAGAGTTGTCACTGTCCTAAATACTCGATATATTTATTGAGTAACAACGTTCGATAGCTATCGATAAGTGCTGTTCATGGAAACGATAGCAATTACACACTGACACAAGTAAATAGCGTGCGGTAAGGTTTGCTCACTCAACTGATTTGTAAGGGGAAAACTCATATTATTTCATTTTTTCAACAAAGTGTGTCTGCTTTAAATTATTTAGCAATTGTGTAACAAAACGTTTTACTTTCTACAAATAGCACACACACAATGGCACAGAGCAAACTCAATGATTTAGCGGGCAAGCTGGGCAAAGGTGGCCCACCTGGTCTGGGCATTGGACTGAAGCTCTTGGCAGCTGTTGGCGCTGCTGCCTATGGTGTTAGTCAATCCTTGTATACCGGTAAGTGCGCGAAACAACCAAAATCAGTCTAAAATATTACACAAACATGAAAAACAAGACTTATGTAGCGGCATGTGCACATAACCTCAAACTGTCTACTGTATGCTTTGTCTGCCGGAGGCTATGTGTGTGTGTGTGTGATAGTGGTGTAATTTCGTAACTAATTTCAAGGCTTGCACAATGCATTTCGTGTAACGCCTGAATGAAGTCCAGTTAGCAATTGGAGGTATAATCCAATTGGAACCGCAGTTTCATTGATAACATTTTGAGCGAATGTCTGTAGCACACTCGTTTGCTGTTGCATAACAACTCTAAATGTATTTTCTCTCGTTGCAGTGGAGGGCGGTCATCGCGCGATCATCTTCAGCCGCTTGGGTGGCATCCAGAATGACATTTACTCTGAGGGTCTGCATGTGCGCATTCCATGGATCCAGTATCCAATTATTTATGACATCCGCTCGCGTCCCCGTAAAATTTCATCGCCCACCGGCTCGAAAGATTTGCAAATGATCAATATATCGCTGCGTGTGTTGTCGCGTCCCGATTCATTGAATTTACCGTACCTGCACAAGCAACTGGGCGTCGACTACGATGAGAAGGTGCTGCCATCCATTTGCAATGAGGTGCTCAAGAGTGTTATTGCCAAGTTCAATGCCTCCCAGCTGATTACACAACGTCAACAGGTATGTAGAGAGAGTGAAAAATATGAAGATGAGCTGTAGAGCGTAGGTTTTCTTAAATGCACCAACTCCCACCCCTTACAATGTTCATGGAGAGAGTGAGAAAGAGAGGAAATGTTTAAGGAAGCCTCGCAAGTGCTAGGCTAAGCACTCGTTAGGCTTCCTTATTCACTCACTCTTTTAATGCGCATCCGATGTTGAGTATTTGCCAGTCGCTCTTATTCACTCGCTCTTTCAAAGCGTATGGCTCTCAAGCCGATCAAAAGAGAAATTTACGTACACTCTCCAATGCTCTGCTCATTCCTAACTGCGCCGTTCTCTTTCAATTTCTTAACTTTAATAAATTTCGTTTTTTAGGTCTCGCTGCTGATACGCAAGGAGTTGGTGGAGCGCGCGCGTGACTTTAATATCATTTTGGATGATGTTTCGCTGACTGAACTGAGCTTTGGCAAGGAATATACGGCAGCAATTGAGGCCAAACAGGTGGCACAGCAAGAGGCGCAGCGCGCTGTCTTCTTTGTGGAGCGTGCCAAGCAGGAGAAACAACAGAAAATTGTCCAAGCTGAGGGTGAAGCTGAGGCAGCTAAAATGATATCCTTTTTACAAAACAAACCATTTAGCTAGGCATTTTATATATGCCTAGCACTATTTATATATACATTTTTTTTTGTACCATTTATATTTCTTGCACTTGGTTTGCACCTTAACTGTTATGTTTACTTAGGTCTGGCTGTGAAGCAGAATCCTGCTTATCTCAAGTTGCGCAAACTGCGTGCCGCCCAGAGCATTGCCCGCACGGTAAGTATACTCTCACATAAGACTTAAGAAAAAGAAAACAAGGAATTTATGATTGCCTTTTTCCCTCCACAGATTGCCAGCTCACAGAACAAGGTTTATTTGTCCGCTGATAGCTTGATGTTGAACATTCAGGACTCTGGTTTCGATGATATGACTGAGAAGGTTTACAAAAGTAAATAACTCGTTTCGTCATTGAGTTAACATTTAAGTTACAAACAAAAACATGGAAAAAACTACAAAAATTTGATTGGTTTTTGGTTTCGAGCATTGGCCAAAAACAATTTTAGACCTTTAACTACATATATATATATAGAGCGTGTATAACTGATTTCTTTAAAACGTTTCATCTTATATCTCTCTATATATTTCTCTTTTTCTCTTTGCCAAATTCGTTTCTGTTTTTCTTTCCACTTTTTAAAATGCGAAAACGCGCAAACGCAGTTCCACATCTGGATTAAGTAAGCGGGCTATATATAATACCATAAGATAATTGTTCAAATCAAATTTCAATGCGATTGCTTAAAATTGTTTCATCACGCGAATTGCATACATATATAAGCCTAGTGCCTAAGTTCCGTTTAGTTATATACATATATAATCTTCTAATTTGTTTAATTGCCCGCCTTCGGTTTACCTTTGCCTCACGTAATTTTTCATCACATTTGCATTCAGCTTGCAATGCGTCAACAACTTCATTTCATATCGTTGTCGCATTGCTCAGCTGAGACGAAGCAAGGTACACACAGGTGTGTGGCAAGCGGCTCTATTGCTGCAGCATTTAGCGTTTTATCTCATTCAAGAGTTCATCATGAAAAAAGAAAAAAATAACTGTTAATAAATGCGCATTGAGAAAAACCATATCGAAAAACCTCTAAGCAACAAATTGATGTTTAAAACAACATAAATTTTTCTTTCCGCAAAAAACCTTAAAACCTTAAACCTTTCACAGTTGGCACCGGCTTGCCCAAGAATTGGCTAGACGCACGCAAAATAGGAACCGCCGTCGACTCGAATGCGAATGTGGGCGATGTGGCACGCAGCACCGCCGACCGCATACTCTGAATGATGGGCCCGATGAGGAAACCAGCAGAAACAGAAGAGCAATAACTCAAAGCCCCAGTACAAATCAAGAACCTACACAGACCAAATATATATATATCATATATATATATATATAACTATAAAAATCTTCAATTTGTGGAGCCCATGGAAAAATTGTGTATGAAATTCTCAATTTCATCAAATACGAAACATTTACTTATATGTTATAATAATTGCATGTATAAAATACATAAGAATAGTACATAAGAGAGTGATGTGGTGTATATATATATATATATATATAAACCTATGTATATATATATAGTATAATTTATAATATGTATGTATAGATAGATTCAATGTAAATTTTAGGCAGATTAGGTTCCTTCCTTGTATCGCTATTACATATGGGAGTGTTTTAAAGTTCGTGCGAGATCTTGACTAGAAATATGTGTGTGTATATTTATATATATGTATATATATATATATATATATAACTATTGTTATGCTTATGCTTTTCAATTGTGGTTCAGGGCAATGAATCAATGGACATGTAAAATTCAAAGAGCTCGTTTATAAAGTAAATTCCAGGCAGTAGATCTTCTAAATTCTAGTGCTTATATATATACACTAGAATTATCAAAGAATGCTGGCAACAGCTCTAGGGTTAGGGAATGCTTTCCTACACTGTATAAACTCTATATCAAATCCCTTGCATAAGCTTAACAATAGAACTAGATGTATTTAAAGTGTATTCGAGCTCGAATTGTGGAACAAGCACTTTAAATACAAATTGATTAATTTTTGGTGTTGTTTTGTTGATCTTCTACTACTTGAGCAATAAAAAGGTGGCCTGATTTCTCAGTTAAGATGCCCTTAGCTATTCCCATAGCAATGCTCATTTATATATATGTATATCTACTATATCATATCATATCATATCTATTTATAAAAACGAACTCGAACAATCAATCAATCATAATTCCTGCCATAGGCGCGTTGGGGTTAGCTTTGTATATATGTTAGTTTAGTGTGATTTTTCGCTTAGGGATGTCGCCAGCTCGACATGGACCAGGATCAGGCGGTCGCCGGTGTTTTCCCACCTGTGGCAACGGTGCTGCTCTCGCTGTTGTTGCCGCTGCTGCTGCCGCTGCTGCCGTTGCTGCTGCTGCTGCTGGCATTGCTATTGGCACGCCGGCTCTCTGCCAGCGCTGGCGTTTCGCGTCGATGGCGACGCAATGTGGAACTAGCCGAAGGCGCCGAGGAGCTCAAAGCAATGTTGGCCGTAGGCAGCGGCCTCCGCCCGGCTGGGCACATTCAGAGTTCCCGTATTAACACTGCTGCCGCTGCTGCTGCTAGCGCCGTTCGCTGTGGCAGCGGCGAAGGATTCGCTGATGCTGCTCAGCGGCGGGGGGGGTCATAAGTTCGTCGTCTGCACCAGTCCGCGCTCCAAATGGAAGCACTCCAGCACTGCCGCGCCCACAGAGCTGCGACGCGCCACCATCGCATTCACCACGCTCCACTTGTTCAGCCGTGGATCGTAGCGTTCCACAGAGTTCAGCGAGGAGCTGCCATCGTTGCCGCCCAAGGCAAACAGCACGCCCTCCACCTCCACCACCTCATGCGTGGATCTGTAAGTGGAAGAGATGTCAATAGAGATTCAGGTGGAGTCTAAGCTCTCTCTCTCTCAGTTCAGCTCACCTGCGCGAATGCATCGCTGCAATGGGCTCCCAGCAGTTGCGTCGCAAATTGAATCGTTCGCCGCTGGACATGCACATGGTGCCATCGTTGCCGCCAATGCAGTACAGATGGCCATCGGTGGAGGCGACGCCACAGCTGCTGCGGCGAGCCGTCATGCTGGGCACGGGCTGCCAGCGGCCCACGCGTGGATCGAAGCGCTCCACGCTCGACTGATAGTTGGTGGAGTCGAAGCCGCCCAGGCTATAGATTTGATTCTCGAGCACGGCCAGGCGACAGTAGCGACGACGCGTGCTCATGGCCGGGCAGGAGCTCCAGATGCCCGTCAGTGGATCGTATCGCTCCATGCTGCTCAGGCAGGAGGCGCCATCGTAGCCGCCGCAGACAAAGATCAGGCCATCGTAGGCACAGATGCCCAGGCAGCTGCGCTTGGTGCCCATCGGTGTGATGTTGCTCCACTTGTTGGTCAACGGATTGTAGGACTCGGCCGTGGCCAGATCACTGACCCCATCATAGCCGCCCACCACATACAGCTGCTTGTGCAGCGATGTGACGCCCGAGCGGGAGCGACGCCAGAGCATCGGCGCCACGGGCGACCAGCTGTTGCAGCGCGGATTATAGACCTCGCACTCGTTGTGTATGGCAAAGAGACTGCCACCGCCCACGGCAAAGATGTAGGGTCGCATGCCCTCGGGCCGCCGCTCCTGGGTGCGCTGGCTGCCCATCAGGCTGCGCTGCTCCGGCAGCAAATGGTATTTCATGGCCTCCAGCAGCAGCTCCTTGCACTCGGAGTCGTCGCGCATCAGGGTCTCCGTCTCGACGCAGCTCATCAGGAAATCGCGGCTGACCAGGGGCAGGCGAACATGCGACATGAGCTCGGCAATGTGCAGTCGACGCTTGGCCAGATCGTGCTTCACCCAGCTCAGCACGCCCATAAACACCTTCTCCTCGGAGCTGATGTTCAGCTGGCTGTTCGATATCAATTCCTTGACCTCCTCGAAGGGCAGCAGCAGAAACTCCTCCGTTCCCACCACCTGCTGGAAATTCTGCAGCGCGTATTTGTGGGAGCGCGTGTGGAGCTCCTTGCAGGAGTGGGCGTCGGCAAAGCTGCGTATGCCCAGGCAGTTGGATGGATGCAGCTGGCGCAGCAGAAACTTGCAGCAAGCATCACGCACCGAGTGCATCTGCAGCAGACCCGATGCCGGCAGCAGCACCTGGACATTCTGCTCCGTGATGGTTATCTCACCAGTGTAGGTGTAGTCGATTAGCTGACGCAGCGCCGAGCTGTCCACATCGTGCAGCCGCACCAAGCCCTGTGTACGCTCGAGCATATCATCTGTAAAAGGAGAATAAAAGTACTTCAAGTTCTGTCTCCCTCCCTCCACTCCTGAAGCTCTTAGCTGCTTCACTTACCATTGAACATGGCGTAGAAGTAAGGCGAGACGGAAGCCAGCACCACGCGATGCGCATTGATGGTTTCGCCGCCCACCTCGAGGCGCACATCGCAGAGCTGCAAGCAGGAAAAGGCAACAAATATCATTGACACATGAAGCACAGGGCGTGAAGGAGACGAGGCGCCAGGCGCATGCAGAGACTCGTTTTACACAAATCCGATTAACAAAGTCCTGAGCAGAGAGATACGTGCTCAATTTCACAGTCTAAGCAACAGCATATGCTCGGGGAGCGCACAGTGGGTTGCAATGGCATGAAAATGGTCGCAATTGAAGATGGAAAAAGAGAAGGCGAATGATTGGAATAGCGGCCACAGTCACCCACTAGCGTTTACCCTGATTCCTACCCACAGTCACTATTAAAATCATTCCATTTTAATTTTCCTTATTGCTTGTATGAAATTTACTTTATGAATTTAAATGATAGCAAATAAAAATTTAGCTCTGCGCAGAGCTCAAGGCATCTATTAGTCTGTTATACCCCACTGAGATCTCTGCGCATAGCTTAGGGCATCTATTAGTCAGTTACTTCCCACTTTAAATGTTAATTATGCTAAATATTTAACTAAAATATTTAAATAAAATATATAATATTTATAAATTATCAAAGTTTAAGTTTAATTTTTAATATTTAATTTATAGTAATAAATATATACATTTATTTATTTATTTATTTTTTATATTTTTTTTTTAGAATGTAAGCAATATAGTAAAATATATTCCTCGCATTTAAAAATTTATTTTATAGCATACATTTATTTCTTTATTTTTTAACATTTAAATTCCTATCTAAAAATTTAACTAAACTTCCCTATTTGGCAGGTGCTTAAAATTCTATTTAATTTTTCGAGATTCTTTCAAGCAATCAATACCCTCTCAAGTGCTTACATGCAATTTTCATCAACTATCACACCACTGTGCGTTATCCCTATTGAAGCCTTACGAGTGAATCGCTTCCACTTTTAGTGCCAGACACTCGATGCGTCTCGTCGTAAATAACTTTGATGAAGCGGCGCACTTGACGAGTCACTGCACTCGATTAATATCTATTTTTAATGGCTCTGCAATAATTTGTAACAATCTCTTATATTGCTGGATATCATATATACATATATATACATGTATGTATATATATTTGTTTTATTTAAATTAGTGTCGCACACGTCATGCGGCTGAGGGCGAAGTCGCTTTAGCTTTGCATATCGCCTAAAGGCCAAACACCCGCTGAGTAAATAAATGTTGTTGTTGTTGTAGTTGTTGCTTTTTATACTTTTATCAGTAAACGGCAATTTGCTCTATTAGCTCACCCAGCTGCTGCCCTCTGGGCGGCACGACACGTCTGTCACACTGTCATTTAGGCAATTAATTTCTGACAAACAAAAAATATAGAAATTATGTATACGCCCTGTATGAGAGTGTATCGAGGCGAACTTGGCTCACTTGGCCGCACGCAATAACTAAATTGTTGAATCTTAATTATGCTAAATAGTAATTTCATTAATTGTGCGCATCGATAGAGGTCTGCTATCGCAGATGCCCTGTGTCGCATGGTTAAAAATTTCAATTTCAAGGCTGAATTGGTTTATTTCTAGAATTAGTAAGAAAGATTTTTTCATAACTAAATTTGTTTAATTTTCAAATGAGTAGGAAAAGAAATATTAATATACATAAATATATTGCTGTCATTCATTTCAAGAAAAGACTAATAGAAAGGGGTGTAAAGAATTTATATAAAAAAATAAATAAATATTATTTAAATTAAATATTGAAACTTATTTTGTTGTGGCAGAATTTAAATTTAATATAGAAATTTTTATACTAGTGAAAATTGATAGAATAATATTAAACACAATAGATATTAATTCAATACAAATTCATAAAATATTAAATTATATATGCCTGAAGGCCTTTGTCGCTCTGGCTTAACAAAGTGTCATTTAGAATTAATTCTTAATAACAATAAATAAATTAATTAATTAAATTATATAAAAAAATTTAATTATAAAAATTTAAATTATAAAATTAAATTTATATTATTATTTGGTATTTTATATATTTTAACCCAAATGCAGATGAAATTCCAAGCGAACAACAATCGCAGCAATTCAAGCAAAATATCAAATGAAAAATTCCGTTGCATACCCAACAGGCGCAGCATTTAGCGGGTTTTTCTGTTGAATTAGCCGCTAAAATGGCTTTATTGATTTAGCCATTCAAAACATGGCAAACAGAAATTCCTTGAATGGCAACCTATACTGCTTCATGTGGCGAACTCATAGCATATGTCCTTGCTAAATCCTTTGGAATATTAAACGAGTCATGGCTATTAGAAAAGCAAAGCCATTTAGCAGAGAAATTACTCAAACTCAACAAAATGCCAAGACAGGAAGAAATTTAATGTGTTGAGTTCATTGACATCAAATTAAATCAATTGTCCAGCAAATCATTGTGCATATCCAGGACTCGTGCCATTTCAGCCTTAGCCACAGCTGCCTAGCAAATGACCCAAAAAGCACACACAAAATGCCAAAATATCTCGGAAGTCAGACAAACTATTTTCATGTGCTTTTGGCCAGTTCATAGTCCCGATGACCTCAATTGGTTTGACACACAATTTGCTACGACTGATATAAAAGGCTTTTGCTGTGTACGTGAATGTGCTCAGAGAAGAACTTTCCTTCGCTTTTTTTATTGCCAATTTTTTATCAGAAAGTTTAGCCTTTTTTGTGTGGCTCAAGGAATATGTCATTGGCTATGCAAAAGGTCGAGCTAATGTGGATTAATTACTTTTTTTATTATTATTTTTTCAGCGAAAGTTTTTGCAAAAGTTAGAGGATAAGGTTTGATGGAGTATTGAAAATCCTTGAATGACAAGTTGAAGCCTTGAAACTTTGATAGGAGAAGGGTTAAGTTCTCTAGTTGTAAAGCAGGATGTCCTAACAATATTTGGATGTATATGAATAAATACAAATATTTGGCATATATATATATATATATTTGGCCATATATAATGCTTTGGGATCAGAAGAATCAACAGTATCTCAAGATCCAAAAGGCTGAGGAAAGAAGAATGGAAGAAAGTAAGGATCTAAAGAAAAAAGCTCTACATAAACCTTTTAACATCTATATATTCCACCCGTAAGAAACAACGAATTCCCCACTTTCCCTTAAGAGCATTACGAGCCTCAGCCTTAAGTCTTTATCTTCATCTCGTTGCTCACCTGTGCATTATTTCTCATCTGATTGATGGCCGCAAAGGAGGCGATGCAGTGTCCCGGATTTTGATGATGCGCCTGTGGCAGCACCTCCTCATTGGGACCCGGTGGGCTCAGATCGCTGGGCGTTTGTGTGGAATTGTTGCTGGTGGTGGTGACATCCTCATTGTTGCCACTCGAGTCGGCGGTGCTGCAAGCGAGCGAGATAACAGAACATAAATCAAATTAAGGTCTTTAAATCAAATTTCACATACATATATACATACATATGTGTAAAATCTGAAATTAAGTAGATAGATGATGATGATGATGATGTTGATACATTTGATGTGGCGACAAAATGACGCCAGACGGCGGTTGATGACTGGCTTGGGGGTTGTTTAATGCAAACAGCAGACTCCCCAAAAAAATGCTCAATGCTTTCGGGGGTTGCTCACAGCTCCATTATATATGTATGTATGCATGTATATATGTAATTATATAGTTTACTTACTGATTCGATTTGACAGGCAGAAACATTGCGTTGCGGTTTCTTCTTCTAAGCTACTAAAACATATTCGGCATATGCTTTAAAGGCTTTGGTCCTTGAATTGGTTCCGTGTGGGTCTCGCTTGACCCAACAGAATATGTCAGTCTTTAGTTTTGGCAGTTCCGGTATTTCATGCAGCTGTAAATGAAGTGAAGCAGTAGTAGACAAAAAATCAATAGGTTGTAATTGTTTAGCACCCTCCCCGAGCTAAAGCTAAAGCTGAAGCCAGAGAATATTTAGGTCACACGCAGCAAGGAGCGTCGCATGGATATGAGATCATAGCTAACCCTGGTTGAGCTTCATTTTCTTTTCGTTTTTTTTTTCTTTTGTAAAATGAAAGCATCAAAAGCGAATTCAGTTAAGTAGGTTAAGTGCCGTCAAAACCAGCTCAGGCGGGCAGAGAGAGGTCTGCTTAGCCATTGTTCTCAGCCATTGTTGGGAGCTGCGCCCTGGCGTATTTACGATTTGGGCTGAACTCGCTTTGATGTTGCTGCTTCCTTTCAGCATTAACTGCGCTGCAGCCAAATGTCCTGCCACATGCAATTTGTGCATTTGTGCCACGAGGCCAGCCAGCCGGGCGCGTTAATGTGGTCAGCGCTTCGGTTTGTTTCCTTTTATTGCGGCCCATTAGCGCACATTCCGCACTCCACGCCAAGGTTGAGCTGGCCCAAACAAGTTGAGCGACTACAAATTGTTGCATGCAAAACGTATTCATACTAAAAGTAATCAAATGAAGTGTGTGTCTACTACAGAGCGTTGCAAGTGACTGACTAGCAAATACCCTATACTACTGTTGTTGTCTGAAATGGGCTGCTTAAAATGCTGCTTAAAATGTTTTATAAATGAGAATTAATGGAAAAAGGAAGTACTTGGAAACAATGAATGGTAAGTTGCCTGACTAACAGATACCCTAAGAAAGCTGAGATTTCTTGTATGCTTCCTTAACAATTTAACAAAAAATTTAATTTCAATAATTGCTCAACACATATCAATTGAATGGTATTGAATTAAACGTTTGTACTCTAATCAGAGGAGCTTGAGTTGTAGATAGCCCGACTTGTTTATATGTCTTAACCTTTGGCACTCTTATACATACGCACACATTTATACATACATATATATCACATACATGTATTCTACATTTTCAAATTTAATATATTTCAGTTCTTTCTGAGATCTTCAATATATACATATATAATAATATAATATAATACAATATAATATAATATAATATAATATAATATAATATAATATAATATAATATAATATAATATAATA